TTCCTGCAGGGAATTCATGCTCCTGTTGTATACTTTCCCATCTTCTCCAGGATTGAGGGAAAAGATTTTTCCAAAGGACAGTTTAAGAGTAAACTAAATAGCACAACCTGAGGCATTCTGAAAGCTGGCATTTATCTACCATCAACTGGAATATCCCATTCATTTTTTTTCCTCTGAGTTGATCAGCCCAGACTGAGCCTGTAGCTCTACATTAGCACCTACTCTCTTTTTGACATATGGATCATTCTAAGACCTTAAACAGGCCCTCTCTTCTTTAGGTCCTTTTTATCCTCCAACTAATTGCTCCAATTCTAGGGATACCACAGCCCATTTGCCTTGAGGATCCTCATTAAAGCTGGGATTCTTCTGGATAATCTATCCTGACTCAGGATGAGCTAGCAAGTGTGAGTGCACATTGGAGAATTCTAAAATGTTGGAAACATAAGGTGATACTTTTATTATTGCTGTCATTGTTATCACTGATAAGAAAATTAAATATTTGAATCTTTCTTTGGTCTTTGAGGAACTTCCTTAATCAGTTATCAGCAAATACTTCTCCAGAATGACTGGTTTGGTATGTAGTTTAAACTGCTATCAATAAAGACAGAAGTAATATCTCACTTTAATAATGTGTAATCAGTTCCAAAGTTGGTCTCAAAACAATGTAAACCTATTTTAAGGGCCTCACTATAATATATAGGTAAGTTTTTCTTTTCCAGTGACTTAAGATGAAATACTAGTGGTTGGTTTTCAGCACTCATAGTAAGCAAACCTGTGCAAAGTATTGGTCATAAAACATGTTCTGGGCCTGGGTCAGTCACTTGTGTCACTTAATGCCTACATGTAACACTAAGTGTGACCTTAGACCTGGATCTTTTTTTTTTTTGTAATGTAAAATTCAGTAAAGATTTTTGTGTTTTAGAAACTATATTAATCAAGCAAAAGGGACAAAGCAAAACAAAAAAGATGAAACAAGAATAGGAATTTCAGCTCTGAACAAATAATGGACAAACTAATTCTCCATGTTACATAACTATTTTTAGTCTAACAAGTTAGAAACTATAGCAGCACAAATACTCTTATGCCACTGGAAGGCATGAGAAAGATCAGAGATATTTAACAAACAAATTTGTTTAAAAATAAAAAGCTATTTTATGGCTTTTTAGGAACTGGGAGACCATGGATATTTAAGTAAACACCTTAAAATTCATAGAACCATTTTACCCCACATATTTGCATGTACAGTGTATATTTAAACAGCAGATGAACATAAGAGCAAAACTTCCCTCTAGAGATCAGGGACAACAGCAAAGTCAATGAAAAGTCATTATTTTAAAAGACAATTTAGAATGGTTCAAATCCTGTCATCTCACTCTAAGAACAAAATCTAAAGCTGATTTTAAAGATGAGCTGAATTTTCAGCCTGAAAGTAATTGCTGTCCTTGTCCTCTGGGTATAGATCATCAACACAACTAAGAAAGCGTTGCAGCCAGGCTTGGTCCATAACCAACCAATTGATTAGTAGCTATTAAAAGAGAAATGTTGACTTGTTCATGACAACTAGTTTTTAGAATGAAAGGCACAGAGGTCTGCTTTTAAATGTGGTCTTTCCTTTCCATTCTACAACCAATCAAAATCATCCTTTAACATTTCTTGGAAGTGTCAAAAGCCCATTTTTACTTTCCTTTTCCTATTTTAACCAGAATACTGATAACGTGGGAGAGCAGTTGCTATGAAGCAAAGAAAAATGCCCTGCAGTGGAGGGCCCTCCATCTATCAAGGGGAGTTTGCATCACTGCCTCTCTTTAGTACTGTATAGATTCTCAGGATTTTCTGAATCATTTAGCCAAGATGGAAGGATTTAAAAACAGACTGTGAGATATAGTCACAATCTCTTTTTTTTTTTCAAAAATCAAAATAGTTTAGTTTCACTTTGGAATTTCCTAGTCTTAAATTCTTATGCATGCAGGGACAAGGATAGTCTCTGAGTGAGACTTTTGGAAAGATGATTAATGCGGTGGGCTTAAACAGACTGATCACATCACAGATTCCCAATGGTTAAAACTCTTACTTGAATTGAGGTATTGTGGACCCAACTACAGGGAAACAAGTGCTTATAATTAAGTAATAATATTCACAAGCTATGCTGTGTTGCAATCTGGTGCACCAAACAACATTTGAAAATCTGGAAAGAATGTCCAGTTAGATGCTCACTTATGATCCCACAAGTTTCTTCTGTATTCGGAGGACACATCCTTAATATTCAAACGGCAATGACTGTCTCCTTCACCTTTTTCAAAGCCCTGTGTCACCACACCCCACTCCACTGTCATTTTCTTCTCACCAATATTAAAAAAAAATTCTACTCTCAAGTCTCTGTGTCTATTGAGAAGAAGAGAGCACCTTTCTCTAAGGATTCTGTTCTCTGCCCTCCATTTCTTCAGAAGGCATGGTTTGCTTTGAACAACCTCCTAGAGCCCTTGGAAAGAATTCAGATGAAGTAGCAGCATAGAACTGGGAAGAAGTCTGATCTTGGCAGAGGTGCTTAAGGAGGAAGTAGCAATATAAGACAGTGCAGGGAGATGGCTGGGCCTTGTCTAAACCAGGAGGTATGGGTTTTCCCAGGATATCCATGTGCACACGAGTCCCCAGAAATACTGTTCCCAGCCCAAAGTATGTGAAACTAGAAGTAATATTTGGAGCTTACCCCAGATCCAAGTTCTCCCCAGAGCAAGTGCTCCATAGGGATGTATCTCTGCTTTGGGAGCCAAACACTAAGAGTAAAAGCAAACATTTGGTGCTGAAGAGCCCTTAAGAACTGAAGAGTGTCATTTACTTATTGCTACACATCAGTGTGGTCTTAGGATGTTAAATAGATTAAAAGGCTGAGAGGTCAGTCATTCTTGGGGAAGATGCCTTTGCTTCTCCAGACTTGCTTCTTTCCAAAATTGTTAGAAGCCCTGCCCCAGGCCTGTGGCAGGTCCTTGGCAAATTCAAAAGATGGCACACCTTCTCCTAAATGACCTGGAGAAGGTAGAATCAGAGTTCTGGGGATGGTTAAGTGAAGAAAACTCCTAGGCGAAAGTTTTAAAAGTATGCTGGTAAAGCGTCAGGAAGACCGGTGCAGAAAAATTCCAGAAGAATGAGATCATTAAACAGGTAGGAGTCTTAGAAATGACCAAATCTATTCCATCTCCCATAGAAGGAGGGAGGGAGGGAGGGAGGGAGGGAGTCTCAGAGAGCACTTTAGTGATTAGTGGTAGAGCTAGGATGCACACAAATTTCCAGGCCTGAGCGGCTTCCACTGGCACAGCCTCCAAGTTCAGAGGATCAGGGAACCTATCCTAAGGCTACAACTCCACTGCCGGCTCGGCCCACCTCTAGCTCCCACCTCTGCTTTGTATGCAGAGAGGGCAGCCCAGTAATTTCAATTTAATCTTATTTAAAAAGACATAACTAATAAATCTATTGCCAGGGCCGTGGAAAGAAGGCCAGCAGAGTTGATCGTGCTCCCAGTCTCATTGAACCCCATTGAAAACCATGACAACACCGGACAAGCTCGGATTTATCCCGGCGAGCTAAAGCGCATTGTGAACAGACGTCAATCACGTATTATTTCGGACTGAACAAATGCAAAATCTTGACTGGAACAAACGCTTCCAACAGGTCTGGGGACGTCGAGCTCCATTTCCTCTTTGTTTGCGGCCTGGCAGTTGGCCTGTATTGGGCTAGCCTCCGCCCGACCACCCAGCGCGCAGCGCAGTCCGGGGCACCTCCCGCATGCTTGGTAGGAAGGCTGCGGCGGAGGAGCGGCACTGGGCGGAACCGCGGCCGCCACCGCTGTGTCAGGTTCGAATTCAACCCCAGCACAGCCAAAATTTCGGGTGCGGCCGCCCCAATGCAGCTGCCATCCCTAAAATTTAGAAACCAAAAAACCCAAACCACTAGCTGGAGGATGAGAGGCCTCTGAGATAGCGCTTGCCAAGCTCTAGCCTGAAGCCCTACCAGGGGCCAACAGAATGTATCTGCGTCTTCACGTGCCTTCCCAATAGGCCTTTTTCTCTGTGCGGTGGGGCCTAGAGGATCTGGAGCAAATCTCCAGCGGACTGTTTTTTTTTTTTTTTTTTTTTTCTGGGAAGGCCGGGTGCTAATTCTGCCATTCTGGTGTCAGGCGGGTCAGCTGGGCGGTGGTCTGTCACACTACAAGCTGGGAGGAACACAGACCACAGCCCCCTTCTATGATGTTCATGGCGCAGCTCAAAAACTGGAGCTAACTTTGGGGACATGTGGCTGAGGGGCACAGATGACGCCAGAGTGTTTGGGGATGCCAAGAAAGCCTCAAACTCTCACTAGCCCGCCCCTGGAAATACTACCACCCTCAGATCTTAGAATGGCCCAGGTCCAGCTTAGCGGAGCTTGGCCGCTGAGCCCCAGCCAATGACCCATAGAGGCCAGACAAGGATGAGCACTTCGGCCGGAGTGGTTAGGCCGCATGCTGTCTCCGTTTTGTTGGTCTGAGGAGACAGGCGCGGGTCTTGGGCTCTGCTCCTGGGACGCTTCCAGCTCTTTCCTAGCATCCAGAGGGTGTGTGTGTGTGTGTGTGTGTGTGTGTGTGCGCGCGCGCGCGCGCGGTGGGCTGGGGCATGAGGAGGCGCCTAGAGATCTTCAAATCCCTCATCCCAGATGCTGGAAAGACCAGCATCTTTGCCTTAGCTCTGGCCCTCCAGGGATTCTACCAAAAGGAGAAAGCCAGTGGGCCATTCTAACGCAGCTTTGTAAATCACTTTCCAGGCTAACACTGGAGCAGATAAGCTCGAAGAACAAAACAAACAAGGAATCCATTCCTGGCTGCCCATAAACTACTCAAGTTTCCTCACCGTTGGTGATGCACCCACGGGACCAGGCTCCGTGTCAGCCCTGAAGGAGGAGAAGGAGGAGAAGGAAGAGGAGGAGGAGGGGGGTGGTGGAGGTTGGGGCTCGGTCCGAGGGGTGGTGGCCACTGCTCGCCACCCAAGATGTTATTCACTGGTAACAATCCCCATTCTCTTTCCCCAGTTTGGACTAATCAGACAATCGCTAAAGCCTAAGGATGCTTCCTGCCGCCACTGGGAGGTAACCGGGCACAAAGGGGCGGGGGACGGGGCGGGGCGCGGGGGCGGGGATGGCACCTTCCGGGCTTGCCTGGGCTTAGGGCCAGCACTCTTTCAGGTACTTAACACCCAGGCCACCCTAACCCCGGCTTTCAAAGCATACGGGGTGGGAAAGGCTGTTTTATATAAACAGGGATTCCTCGGTAAATGCGCTAATATCCCTGTGGCCAGCACATGGAGAGAGCTTCCCAGGTCCACCCATAGGAGCAGCGTCCCAGCCGCCCCAGGGTTCCCAGTCTGCCCTGCCCCCGCCTTCTTCCCCTTTTCGGCCATGGCCACCTCCGGACGTCTCAGCTTCACCGTGCGCAGCCTCCTGAATTTACCGGAGCAGGATGCTCAGCCCCGGGCCAGGCGCAAGTCAGAGACCTGTGTTCCCCAGGCCGATCCCTGCACCTCCTGGTTGGAGTCCGAACGCAGCCACTACCCCTGTGAGTGAGTAGAGGGCTACGGTGGGGGGGGGGGCGGTGGATGGAAAGCCCAGCCTAGGTCCTGGCCGGTTCAGGGAGGAGGAACCGAGATCCCAGCCCAGAGTCTGGCTTCAGCCGGTGAGTGGGAGGCTCTGAGGTCCTCAACTCCATCATCTCCGGGTCCGTGCATCCTCCAAGTAGATCCCTGCACCTGGCCTGGACTGGTGCGGGGGCATTTGGGTTACAGTGTCTGGAGATCCCTACGGATCGGAATATTTAAACATTTAAAATCCCTCCCTTATATGCCCCTACAGCGCTTTGCAAACCTTGACAAAGTATATAGTGCAAACTGAAGGTGGCTTGTCTTGATGACTCAGCTTGTGGAAATTGGTCTGACAGTTCGGCTACCCGTGCGGCTCTTTCACGAGGGCTGCACGATGGGTTTCTCTGGGTAATCATCTCGACCTGGTGATTACTATTGCGGGATGGACGAAGTGATAAGAGTGGGAGAGGTGGGTACCCAGATGTGAACCCCGCAAACGAAGTGGCCCTCAAAACCTTCTGCAAAGAGTGGGGGCTCCGGCCGCGTCCCAGACCTCTCACCAGGCGATGTCTCTGTGGTTCCCAGCCTCCGACGACAGCAGCCTGGAGACCAGCCCACCGGACTCCTCGCAGCTGGTGTCGGTCAGGCCGGCGTCTCCCGGCTCCGACTCGGAGAAGAGGAAGAAGCGACGCGTGCTGTTCTCCAGAGCGCAGACCTTGGAGCTGGAGCGGCGCTTCCGGCAGCAGCGCTACCTGTCGGCCCCGGAGCGGGAGCAGCTGGCGCGCGTCCTGCGCCTCACACCTACGCAGGTCAAGATCTGGTTCCAGAACCACCGCTACAAGCTGAAGCGCGCGCGTGCGCCAGCGGCCGCCGAGACGTCGGACCCCTCGGCCTCTGCAGAGCTGCACGCCGCCCCGGGCCCGCTGCGCCGCGTGGTGATGCCCGTGCTGGTGCACGACGGGCAGCCGTGCAGGGGTGAGGGCAGCGTCGCGGCGGCCCGGGACAAGTGCAGCGCACCCGCGACCGCCGCCTGCCCGGTGCCCGGCTACGCCGCCTTCGGGCGGGGCCCGGCGCTCGGCCTCTTTCCCGCCTACCAGCACTTAGCGCCAGCTGCTTTGGTCTCCTGGAACTGGTGAGGCCGCTGCAGGGAGCCCGAAGCTACCCCGGACGTGGGAACCCGTCGCTCAGATGCTGTAGGGCACAGCGCAGGGCTCAGAGTAATGGGGCGGCCTCCCAGCAGGCTCCTTTCCTGAACCCCGGGCTCCCTGCCGCGCTTCACCAGCCGTCTCGGATGCACGAGCGGAGGACTTTGGCAAACACTCCGGTTGTCCCTCCACCGGGAGCTACATTTTCTTGCTTGAGTCTTATTTGTATATTTTTAAATAGCGACTTGTATGAAGCAACTTATTTTTGAAAAGAAATAGAATCCCCCTCCCCCCGACTTATGGTCCTAGAATGTAATGTGGAGGGTTGCGTCTCAGGCGCTTCTGCCACTAAAGGAGTGGGAGCTGTGCTCCCGGGCCTGAAGCTCCTAGATCCTGCGGCGATTACTCGTTACGTTGCCCCCACCCCCACCCCAAAGAGGTTGAAAAGCAGATTGAAGTCCCAGAAGGGGGTGGAAGGGAAAGCTGAGGCAGTTCTGGGAACTCTTATCAATGGGTGGTGGTTCTGCCAGTCCTGGAAGTTCAAACACCAAAAGCCAACCCTATCCGCCACGCTGTGCAAGAACTTCCCTGGGTTCTGCCAGTAACAGGACGCCCGGCTTACAGGAGCCCGGAATATGGGGACCAAGAGCACCAAGGGACTTGAGACCCGAAGTTAAGCTCGAGAGTGCTTTGCTGGGGTCAGCCTCTAAAGGCTGATCCTGGCGGGGACGGGATAGAATAGGGAAGTTAGCAAAGAAACCAATTGGAGATAGGGATGACTGGTGCTCAGCGCTGCCTCAAGGCGACGCTAGCGAGAGAGGCTTCTTTGAGGAGATTCAGTGATCTGATGTGGGGGCTCCTTGATTTATTAAGAATCTTCACCTGCGCTCCCAGTGCTCACAAGCGGGCTCCAGGATCTCCTATTCCCCTGTTGGGTTTGCACCTGCTTCCCATGAGTATCTGGAGGGGAAACGCCTCCATTGCAGAGAGTCTCGGTCTCTGGGAAGTGATGACCTTACTGCCCTGCATCCTCTGCGGGAAGATGTGCCTGAAGAGGATAGTTTCCAGCAGGTGGTCCAGGAAAAGGGACAAGGCTCCTAATGAGGTCCAGGCATTGGACGGTTAGGGTTCATAACTTTCTTGTCCAAGGAGGAAGAAGAGGAGGAGGCAACATTGTCACCTGGGATGGGGGGTGGACAGGGTGTTTGGGGCTTAGCTGCCTGCCACCTTGTCTTCCATATGGATGTGGTTATCTTAGAAGAATCTCAGTCCTTAAACCGCCTTTTGTCTTGGGTACTGAAAAAGGCATTGTCAGCCCTAAAAAGGACCTAGACAAAATCTGCACTGTTTCAATTCAGGACTCTTGTTTAATCAGTCTCTGGCGACAATATAGTGGGTGTTAGGCAGGACAATAGGATCTTTTTAAACCTTGTGGCCTTCAGGAAGACAAAGGGCTTGAATTTTATGGGCTTACAACTTCAATTAGAACAGTGCCAGTGTGCAAGGGAGATTATCAAATTTGTATCATAAAACCCCTTTCTAATAAATGATTGGTGAGGAGGGTGCCTGAACATTGTAAGGCATATATTGGGACCTGCGAGGGGCTTCCCAGTTAGTCTTGGCAGAACAGATGGGAAAGAAAAGGAGGAAGAGATTTCTGGGCAAGGCATGGATTGGGATGTGCAGCTGTGGTCAGCTGGCTGGGTGCTTTGCTCTTCCATGATTTTCCTCTATGAGTAGGTAGAAAGAATCATAGCTCATTTAATTCACAGGTGATAACAGCCTCCTCAATATCATTGGAGAGAAAGTTAAAATAAAGCTCTACCAGTTCAGTAGATCTTGGAATGTGCAGCATGGAGAGGGCCTATTATCCCTAGAACTAAGGGGTGGAGATTGTGGAGAGACTTCTTAACCTGGAGGGTTTGGGGAAAGTTCACCTACAGTCCAATTCATCATGGCCCTAAATGGTGAGCCAAAAGTCCAAGAAAGGTGGTTAGAGACACAGCAAGATGTACCTAGTGAGCTGGCTGTACCTCATGTGGGAAAGGGATAGTAGTTTTCCTGACAGTAGCACCAGGAGCCATAATATACAATACCAAACCATTAGGCTTTCCCTTGCAATCTTTTCCCTTTGGCTGGGAAGGTCCTTTCTTTAGAAAGACCTCATGGGAGATATAAAATGATGAGGGAGATAGTAAAATGTGTTCACATAACACTAACTCATTTAGAGACTGAGGTCGTCACATTTTTCTGTTCACAACTGTGATAAGCTGGAAAAGAAAAATGTCAGTTTTCTTTGTTACCTTAAAGGTCAAATCTTCTTCTAGGTTCTGACAAAAGCAGAACCCAAGGTTCCTCTACCAACAGCTGTGAAAACAGGATCTCCCTCCCCAGAGCAAAGCATTTCAGACCTCTTACCCCCATCATCAGCATCACAAGGCAGATTCATACTCAGACACTCAGAAAACTTGCTGTGTTTCAAATATTTTTCCAGGTGCTTCCACACTGATCTCACTATGCACACACACACACACACACACACACACACACACATACAGCCTCTGTTTTATAGATAGGAAACAGGCTTAAGGGGATGGAGGGATGGCTCAGCGGTTAAGAACACTGGTTGTTTTTGCAGAAGACCCAGGTTTGAATCCCAGCACCCACATGGCAGCTAACAACCATCTGTAACTCCAGTCCCAGGGGACCCGACAGCCTCTTCTGACCTCCGAGGGCATTGCACAACACAGGTGCACTTACCTACATGCAGGCAATACAGGCATACACATAAAATAAAAATAATAAATAAAAATTTAAAAAAAGAAACAGGCTTAAGCAATTTGCCCAGAGTAGTTATAAACCTCAGAATGTTACTGTTGTCCTTAGCTTAGCTAGTATCTGGCCTCCCTACAAGCTGCCCTTAAGGAGGACAGTTGTTGAGATGTACACGTTATGCAGCCTTCAAATGCTTTCTTATGATACTCTGGAAGGATATAAGAACAAGCCAAGTGCAGTCTGCACAGCTCGGTGTCTAGTTCAGTAAGTTGCTAGTTCAGTACGTTGCTAATGCATTAACGTTTCCTGAATACCAGGTAACAGTCTAGGCTGTTTTCCCTAATAGCATAGTCAGTGGTGAACTGTGAATTCAAGCTGTCTGGCTTTAGATCTTGTGGTGTGTGTGTGTGTGTGTGTGTGTGTGTGTATGTGTGTGGATGTGTGTGTGTGTGGATATGTGTGGATGTGTGTGTGGATGTGTGTGTGTGGATGTGTGTGGATGTGTGTGTGTGTGTGTGTGTATATGTGTGGATGTGTGTGTGGATGTGTGTGTGTGTGGGTGTGTGTGTGTGTAGGTGTGTGTGGATGTGTGTGGGTGTGTGTGTGTGTGTGGATGTGTGTGTGTGGATGTGTGTGGATGTGTGTGTGTATGTGGATGTGTGGGTGTGTGGATGTGTGTGTGTGTGTGCGTGTATGTCTGTATCTATATGCATATACACCTGTGTCGTGTCCATGGGCATCCATGTTAGGTATCTTCTACAGTCAGTTTCCACCCTACTTTATGAGACAGGGTCTCTCACTGAACCTAGAGCTCCCAGATTCAGCAAGCCTGGCTGGCCAGCAAGCCCCAGGGATCCTCCTCTAGCCACCTCCCCAGCACTGAGCTTACCCGCACACACTGCTGTGGCTGACTCTGTATGTAGGTGCTAGGTAGGGATCTGAACTTAGGTCTTCATGATTGTACAAGCAACTTTACTGACTGAGCTATTTCCCCAGCCTCCTGGCTCCAGGCGATTTTACACCTTTAATCACATGGTGGTAGCTAGCTCCCAATCTTTCTGTTCTGTTAGTATCAGTCTGCCGTATTGGTTACTCTCCTCACAGATGTTTCCTTAAAGACATGTTCTCTAGCATCTTCCTGTCTGCTTCTGCCCCCACCCCATCTACGAAGGCTTCAGCTTTTGGACACAGCCTCTGTGTTTCCCCTAGGTTTCTTTGTGTGCTTTCTTGCCTAGCTGTCCATGCAACACAGCTCTTGTGTACAGGCCACAATATTCTCCTGTGACTATCATTCCACTATTCTTTCAGAAAAACATCTGCTGCTTGACACCAATTGTGCACTCAGTGTTCAGCAGAGTCACTGCTGACTGATAAGCTCCTCTAAGTGTTTCCCAAGCCCAGGCCCACATCCCCATGGAGCTGACTGGCTTTCCTAGCCTTCTCCCCAGTCATCCTTTCCCTCCTAGTCTCCAGCTTAGTCTTTATTATTAAATATCACCCTGTTCACATTTCTCGCTCTCCATCCATTGTAAACATTTTCCCTTCATCTCACTTAAATCTCTTGCAGGTGGAGATCGCAATTTTCACTTCAATTTTCTTTCCTTGTTGTTCAGAGGATCTTACATCTTAGCACATCTCTTATCTGGCCAATTTAGCACTTTAGTATCTTAGATAATGTGCTGCTGAAGGGTTGGAAGGAAGTTATTTGAGCCCAGGTTAACCTACACCCTCACTTTTAACAATGGAGTTTTAATGTTTGTTATTCTCTTGCCTTGTTGATACAATTTATTAGCCTCTCTTTTCTGTCTGTCTGTCTCTCTCTCTCTCTCTCTCTCTCTCTCTCTCTCTCTCTCTCTCTCTCTCACACACACACACACACACACACAGATACACACACTTCCACTACCTTTAAAACATTTTTGACTTGTGAATAAGATACATAAGCAGAATGGTTATGGACTTGGTGTGGTTGAGTATTTGGTAACCGTTTATCTGCTCTGGGTAGTTCAGCTAACCAGCCTACGTAGGTTTTCTGTGAATATGAGCAACAAGTGCTCAAGGAGTTTTTAGAGTGCTGAGAGAGTACTGTCTCTACCTCAGGCATGACAATTTCTGCAAATGTGATTATATCATTTAGTACTCAAAATCAGTCTGAGAAACTGTATCCTTCTGAATCAGTGTTTCCAAGCCATGCTGTAGGTAGAGACTTACTAAAT